TGGTAAAATAGAAATTGATAAAAAAATTTTATTAAAAAAATCACTTTTATATTAATGATAATAATTATTATTTTTATCATTATATTTTTCTAAATAAAAATTTCTTGAATATTTAAATGACAAATAATTGTAGGAAACAGTGGAAAGAAAATTGTTTAAAATTTCTGAATCTAACATTTGTTAAAAAATAATTGTTGAAATGTTATTATTTAGAATTGTAATAATTTTAAATTGAATTTAGTTTAATTAAAATTATTTTAATTTTTTTTCGAAAAATTTTATTAAAATTAAAAATATTTCTTAAAATAAAAATTTGCATGCTTTTTTCACATTTTCTGTGTGAGATTTCAAAAACTTTTAGTGACATTTAATCTATTTTTGATGTAATGTAATTATGTAAATTATAAATAATTTTTTTACATAGATATTTACATTTACATTTACCCTACAGTTTATTTATTTCTCAAAACAAATTAAAGTATTTTATTAACAATTATTAATAAACTTATTTTAGTTTTAGAATAAAATTTTGGGTTAAGTTAAAAAATAAATGAAAACTTTAAAAATGATAAAATATTAAAACCAGAAAAAACAAGACGTGACATCTAGCGTGTAATGCGTGCGGCAATTTTTTTATTTGTCATTATAGGTAAAGCAGTATTTTGCTTTAAAACAAACAATAAACTTTTAGTACAAAATGTACTATTTTTATTGTTAATATGCAATATTCAGAACAAAAAAACTTAAATCTGGACAATTTAAATATCCATTAAAAAATAGGTATATGATTTTTCCGTAATTTTCACATTTTCAATTTCAAAATTTAGGAAATAACACGAACATTAAAGTGACAGGTGAGCACCTTTTGACTTTTATTATTAATAATTAATTAATTAAAGCTTAATTTAAACAAACTATTGCATGAATAAACTCATAAATCATTCATTTATTCATTCCAATAGTTTTTTCCAGCAATTTTCACGTTTTTCGCTACTTTTTTCACTGGTAACTGAAACCCAACTGAATCCCAACCGAATTCGGTTGCGATTCGGTTTTCACAACCCGCCAGGGATGATATGTCCTTTGGCAGCTAAATTCAAAAATGATGTCCATTTTTTTGTCAAACTTAAGGTATACGAGATAAATTATAACTTTTTTAAATGTAATTATTTTTTGATAAATTTTAGATATTCATAATGTGGAAATATTAACGAATCTCAATATATATTTTTTAAAGTTGAGTTATTAAAATTATAAATTTGTTAAGCAATAAAACTCGGGTTAAAATTTTAATCCTTCAACAAAGGACCTTGGGGTCTATTGTTCAAGGAGGGATTGCAATATAATTTCTAAACTTAACAGAAATTTTCTACAAACTATTATGTTTTTTTTGCTGTTTTACACGTATATCGTGAGAGACGGTTTGTTGATCTTATATACCTTTAAAACTACTGTTAAAGTACTTTAAAAATGTCTTCTTATGGGTTATCAGGTAGTGGTACTGAAGTGGAACTCAAGCGTAGTCCAATTAAGTACCATTCCAGTACCACTCTTTCGGTAGGGATGTGTGAAGAAAAGAATTTGACATCTAAAAACGATAATCAGAATAAAAAAAGTGCAGGAGTTGCAATAATGTCTTTTGAAGATTTCGATGAAAGTAAAGTTCCACAGAATTATTTAGGTTTAATAAATGTAGAATGTAAGTTTTGTAATGCGTTACATTTTTTGTGTGAACGACCGTCACATAGATACATCAGCGAGGAATGTCCCCGTGAAGAGGACATTATGATATCGCCTGAATGTCACAAAAATATTCCCGGTTGATATCAGCTTGACATTCAAGCAATATTCCGTGCTACTTGGGTGGTAGATCCAATATAAAATTTTTTTTTACATTTCTAATATTACATTTTTTGGAAAAAAAATGAATAAAAAATATGATTAATGCACACTAGTCGGCCGCTTGCGGACGACAAATTTGCTAGTTAACTTATAATTTTTAAATTCTGGTCACTAAAAAAATGAGTTATTACAACTAACTTGCATGGTACTCTCTACCAGTTAAGACTTGGTAAATACTACCCACAAAAATAAGTATAATTAACCTGTTGACAATAAGTCACAATAAATATTATAGTTCATGTATTTCAGTATTTATTCCTAATAAATATTATTCACATAAGTTGAAATTAATATTTAATGACTGACTTTCTTTAATTTAAAAATAAAATAAAGAAACAACTTCACTTTGATGTAAAATGACTTTAAACCGTGGTTACTTAAAAAATTCTTTTACTAAGAACATTTCACGCAACACAAGTTATACTGCATTTCATCTCTGAAATGACAAACATGGTTATTTTTACCATGATACAACTTTACCGAAGTTGTAATTTACATCAGTTTTAGGCAAGTTTCACAAATGTAATGAATTAACTGAAGTAATAGGTCTAAAGTTATCAGGGTCCTTAGGATTTCCCTTTTTCAACAGCATAGACGTAGTGAATTTTCCCCAATCTTTAGGTATTCGTTCTGAACTTAAAATTTTATTAAAAAGATTGTTAATGTATAAAATCCAATTTTGGGGTAAATTTTTAAAAAATTCGTAACTTATACCATCCAGGCCAGGGGCCTTCACATTCTTACATTTTAGTAAACATTTAATAATTTCCTCCGTTGACAAAGGATCATCAAGGATAGGGACAGATATTTTTTGAAGGAAGAGAGGAAACATAGGAGTGCAAGCAGTATCAGGATAACTCCTGCTCTGAAGAAAATTAAACCAAACATCCTTACTAATTTGAGAACAATTACGCACCCGCCCTCTGAATGAATTAATAACCCTCCAGAAAGCAGTAGCATTTTTACAGTTGTTAACAATCTCAATACGGGAATCATAATATTCTTTTTTCTTTCGATTTAAAATTTTTTGAAAATCTTTTTTAACTATGTAGTAACACTTTCTTGTGTCCTCAGAAAAGTTATCCGCCTTACAAACCTTCAATGCAACCAAAACACGTCCTTTAACGATTTTGCACTCATCATCCATCCAGGGTCTGCGATTAATGACATTGTATCAGAAAATAATTCATTTTTTTCTTCATTAAAAATAAATTTACCATCATCAAATAGTTGGCTAGAATTATTAAAATCCATGAAAGTCAGAACCACTGGGAAAGTCAGAGAGGGTGGCAAATGTAAGTAATTTAAACATTGACTACACAAATCTCATTTTCGCGCGTTAAATTTTATATCCACTGTCGATAAAGAAGAGCGACTTACCATCAAAAAGGGAAAATACAGTTACTGATTTCTATTGTCAAATATAAACCAAGAAATAAGGTAAATGCACTAGTAATCGTCACCTTAAGCCAAATTGACAATATTAATTGTGTATTAAACAATGTTAATCGGTATTTCTAAACTAATAACACAGGCCTTCAAAATTTCACTTCAGTCTGTTACAAAAAAAGGACAAGGTGATACTTTGTAGGTTTTCTTCGGACTATGAAGGCTGAGGTATACATGGGGTAATAATAATATAATAATAATATATGATAAATGAGCCTAGCAAATTTTATCTAAATTCATTAAAACATGTTAAAGTTATCGTCTAAACAAAAAAGGAATCCACACACACATACATACACCCGGACAATTGATCAGGATCTCATATAACATGTTTCTATATAGAAAAAAATTTGTTTCCGCGACTTTGAAAATTTTCATAAACGAAAGGACTACAAAGCTTCCTCCAGGAGGAAGCAAAAAATAAATATATGAAAAAAAATAGAAAATTTTTTTTTTAGAATTTTTTAAATTATCTCATCAATATCACTGGAATATTCCCTCAATATCACAGGAATATTTCGCTCAATATCACAGGGATATCCCCTCCATATTACATGAATTTTACAGCAATATTCCCTCAGTATCATACGAATATCACGCGGATGTCACAGGAATATCACCGTGGAATTTCCCTATGAAGCGGACATTATATCGCCTGAATGTCACAGGAATATTCCCACTTGATATCATCGTGACATTCAACCAATATTCCGTGCTACTTGGGCAATAATTTTTTAAATATTAACAGAACTTTATTTACACTGTATTAACCTTTCATTAGAGTCCAGACATCGTTCACTACTTTCCGATTTATTAATATCAAGTCATTACTGAATACTTTCTAGACATGTCCAGACAGCAAAGAGTAATGTCTAAATGAAAAAATCTTCTGGACAGGAACTATTCATGTCCGGATGCTACTCAGTCATGTCTTTTTTTCTCAGTGTAGAAGTATTAGATTTTTCGCAAATTCACTTTAAACATATTGAAAAAACCACTGGTTAACTTCAAAGTCGTTTTTTTAGAAACCATTTTTTCGGACCGTAGTTCTGTATAGTTCTGATATTCGGATTAACCAAAAGTCATTTAAGAAAAAGAAATACTGGACAGTTCGAAGAGAATTTGTATGAGTTACAAAGTATTAATAACCTTATTTTGACAATTATTAATTTCATGCGAAAAAGGAAAATTTACATTTAAATATTGTGATTGCAGAACTTTGAAAATATCTGTGATTAACAAATTAAAATTTTAGAGTTTCTAAAAATATTTTTAATTATTTTTTTACGGTTAATTAATATAACATAAAAAAATAAACAAAAGAGAATCTTTCAAACATATCCATTATATCGTAAAACAAAAAAGAGAACATGTGATTCTTGCAAAATATAATTTTATATCGTTTAGTGTGTAATAATAACATTGACAAGCGCAAAAAATTATATAAGCCAAAAAATACTACGTTCTTATTTTTTATGAGACTTTTTAATTTTGGTACCGCATATTTATCTTCTAATTTATCAAGCAATAAATATATTTATTTTAGGGACCATTAAACTTTATACAAACAAAGAATATATTAATTTTGAATTTTTAATACAAAATTAATAATAAAATATAATGAAATCAACAAATCTTATTAAACTTACGAATAGAAACAAATGATCGTAACATCTTTCCTTACGTTTAAATGACGTCATAGAAAGCATGTAAATACATAGATGGGCCATAGATGGACCAATAGATAGATTGAATCCAGGGTGTTGTATCTTGGTCGTATATACAAGGCGTTTTCTACGGAAGCCTGTACGGCTCACGAGCGTCTCGGACGCAAGTGGCGGTGTTTCGTACCACAAGTGGTACGAAGTCCGTCCACCTTAGTGTTCTAAAGACAGTAAATTACGTCAAGAAGAGAAAGAAGATTACGATCGTTTTTTCTCTGAGAATTTATGAGAATTTTTACTTGTACTTTTATCCTTGTCTGACACGTGCGTTGTCATGACAACGTGTATGACAAGGATAAAAGTACAGACATATGTTCCTGACTGTACAATTATTATTATAATGAAAAATATCTTTGTTACAATATATAATATATATATATATTAATATATTAATATTGATATAATATTACATTATTATATTGAATCAGGTACATTTATATGCCTGCACTTTTATCCTTGTCTAACACACATGTTGCCATGACGACGCACGTGTTAGACAATGATAAAAGTGCAGGCATATATGTTACCCGACTGTCATCTTGTCAGTAAGAACACAGAGAAAATTAGGATGCAGTCCCATGGAGCAGATTAGCAGATTAGACGTTGACCAATAAAAAAACAGTCTCTAACGGAAATGCAAAAATTTGCCGCGAGAGACTAACTTTTGATTGGCTGAAATCTATTCTGCTAATCTGCTCTATGGGACTGCACCCTTACAGTCTATTATATTCAATGTTCAAATTATTCATTTAATAACATGTCGGTCGTTTATTTATAACTTACATACTATAAAAATACATATTTAAATTTAAAAAAGGCAATTATCAATCACTTAAATGAATATTCTCATATATTCTCATAAATTCTCTTTTTTTCGGTAATTTACCGCAATTTTCTTTCTTACCTTCTCAGGTTTCAATTTAACCGAGAATTTTAAAACACTAGTCCACCTTGTGGCAAAGTTCGTTAGTTCGTGCTACTTGTTGGACAGACTTCGTGCCACTTGTGGAAAGTGGATTTTTTGAAGGGTCATTCACAAATATGACAATTCCGTTGGATCCTGTTGCTATCTATTTCGTCAGTGCTTTTCATTTCAATTTCATGTGAAGAAGAAAAAATGAATTTTATAAGATATTAGTAATATTAGCATATTAGTAAATGTCATCGAACAAACTTTTTATAGTTCACACATAAATACTTCTTCCAAACGTTAATATACATATTAATAAACTACGGATTCCACTAAGAATTAAGCTGAAGTTTTTAAAATTTTTCTTAGTTTAGAATAAAAATAAGATTTTTTGGTAATGTTGTCATTTTTTAATTTAAAATACATGAAGAGGATTTTATTTTTTAAAATTAAAATTATATTTTTATGAATATTTAAGATTAATAAAGATGTCAATATCATTTGTTTACACTGAAATGTAATCTTTTACATATATTTTCAATTAAAAAATAACAAATTCATTTTTATTCAAAAACATTAAACGGACTTGCCCGGATGAAATTATACTTGAAATGAAAAGCACTGACGAAATAGACGGCAACAGAATACAACGGAATTGTCATATTTGTGAATGACCCTTCAAGAAATCCACTTTCCACAAGTGGCACGGAGTCTGTCCAACAAGTGGCACGAACTAACGAACTTGCCACAAGTTGGACGGACTTCGTGCCACTTGTGGTACGAAACACCGCCACTTGCGTCCGAGACGCTCGTGAACCGTACAGGCTTCCGTAGTTTTCCTACGAAGTTCGTTAGTTCGTGCCACTTGTTGGACAGACAACAGACTCCGTGCCACTTGTGGAAAGTGGATTTCTTGAAGGGTCATTCACAAATATGACAATTCCGTTGTATTCTGTTACTGTCTATTTCGTCAGTGCTTTTCATTTCAAGTATAATTTCATCCGGGCAAGTCCGTTTAATGTTTTTGAATAAAAATGAATTTGTTATTTTTTAATTGAAAATATATGTAAAAGATTACATTTCAGTGTAAACAAATGATATTGACATCGTTATTAATCTTAAATATTCATAAAAATATACTTTTGATTTTAAAAAATAAAATCCTCTTCATGTATTTTAAATTAAAAAATAACAACATAACCAAAAAATCTTATTTTTATTCTAAACTAAAGGTGCTTATATACCTCAAATTTCGATCAGATGAACATTATTTCTGGACCGTGAAAATGCGTGAAAATTCATTTTCACGGCGGGTATTTTTGAATTGATTTAAATAAAAAATGTTTTTTTAAGAAATATAATATTAAATAATTGTTTGAATATGTAAGAACACTTTAAAATAGTGATAGAAAAATGATTTGATTAAAAAATATAGAAAATTTTGCTTTAAAACGTTTCTGCTACAATAAAGTGTAAAATGACGATGTTTGTGAAATGGTTTGTACAGTGTACATGTTTCTTTCAGTTATTCGAAACAATTAGTAGAATTTAAATTTATTTGATAAACATTTCAACTTGCCGATTTATTTTCAGCACTCATTATTTATTACAAGTTAAAAAGAAACGACATAACATAAACAAAACTCTGAGAGACACTCACAAGGAAGAAGCACTGTACAAACCATTTCACAAACATCGTCATTTTACACTTTCTTGTAGCAGAAAACGTTTTAAAGCAAAATTTGCTAAATTTTTTAATCAAATCATCTCTCTATCACTATTTTAAAGTGTTCTTGCATATTAAAACAATTATTTAATATTATATTTCTTAAAAAAACATTTTTTGTTTAAAACAATTCAAAAATACCCGCCGTGAAAATGACTTTTCACGGTCCAGAAATAATGTTCATCTGATCGAAATTTGAGGTATATAAGCACCTTAATTCTTTGTGGAATCCGTGGTTTATTAAAATGTATATTTACGTTTGGAAGGAGTATTTATGTGTGAACTATAAAAAGTTTGTTCGATGACATTTACTAATATGCTAATATTACTAATATCTTATAAAATTCATTTTTTCTTCTTCACATGAAATTGAAATGAAAAGCACTGACGAAATAGACGGCAACAGAATACAACGGAATTGTCATATTTGTGAATGACCCTTCAAAAAATCCACTTTCCACAAGTGGCACGGAGTCTGTTGTCTGTCCAACAAGTGGCACGAACTAAAGAACTTGCCACAAGTTGGACGGACTTCGTGCCACTTGTGGTACGAAACACCGCCACTTGCGTCCGAGACGCTCGTGAGCCGTACTTTGTACTGATTCTACACTCACCTGAAACTGAGCGAGCGGTCCGCATTTGCGTTACGTTTTTTATATACATAGATATAGTTAAATATGGGAAGCGTCACGGCAAAGCGGACCGCTCGCTCAGTTTTCGGTGAGTGTAGAATCAACAGTAATTGTGCGTTGAAAAACGGTTGCGCGAAACTTTGACGGACCGTTTTTTCAACGCACAATTAAAGATGGTTGTGGTAACTTACATATCCCGTATCCGACTCAGTTGTGGAAGCTTTGGCGTAACCGTTTTTTCAACGCACAATTGAAAACGGTGGCGGGAACTTACATATCCCGTTCCGACTTGCGTAACCGACTCAGTTGTGCTTAGGCTGCAGTCCCATGGCAGCGTTTTGCGTTGCGTTTTGTCACTAGACCATGAGTGTAAAAGAGATGCAGATATATGTTTGCTATGTTCACACTCAGGGTCTAGTGACAAAACGCAACGCAAAACGCTGCCATGGGACTGCAGCCTTAGGCCATTATATAGCTGTGCTGTGGCCGTACCCTTAGTCAGGTACTAAAATTACATACAACGATAACAGAAGTCTGCTGGAGTAATCATTATTGTTTTAAACCAAAAAATTTAGTAGGAAAGTTAGGTTTAAAAAATTGTATTTACATTGCAATCAGTGAAAATTTATAATAGATTGTCGGCTTGTGTCAATCCATGTTGAGATGAAGTTTAGGAACAACATTTATGGCACCGCGCGGAAATTTCGCGACGGATACTCGCAGCTCGCCCCACACGGGCCCTGCGTTCAGTTGGATTAATAATCAATGGCTTTGTTTGAGAAGAGGTATACAAATAAAGTGCTACTAGATGATACAGAGAAATTAACGAGTGTCATCGAAAATGCTAGAACAGTCGACGGACATACGGTAAAACTTGTTTCTCTCAGAATGTTTATATCCTCTGACACTATTCTGACAGCTTAGTCAACTAATCTTATTTCACCCGATTAAACTCATTTTTGCATTAATTCAACTTCAATTTAGCGCAAATTCACACTCTATTAATTCCATATTTTATTTATGAATTTCTACAAAAACTTAATGTTTCATTTTTCAAATAAGTGAAACATCAAAAATTCGCAGTTATTTAATTGATCCAAATATAGATGTATTAATAACCTTTACTTGGCTATTTTGTGCAACATAAGCATTAAGTTTACGTACAGAATCAATTGAAAAATTACAAATTACATCTACATATATGTGTAAATTTCGATCTGAAGAATAATTAAATCAATTAATTAGCGGTCGATTTAGACGTATCGTTCTTTTTAACAATTTCAAATTATCTTGTTTCTTTAATTGTCTTCAAATTAACGTGAGACCTCTTGTTTTCAGGAAAGAAAACTTAAATATTTCTGAAAATTCTGTGTACATAATTATTGATTTTACATAAAAAATGTGTTTTGTGTTGATAAGGTTATTTTTGTTTGTTATATCTTTCTTGCAAATATAGATTTCTGGTTACGTAAGTGAAGACTAAAAAGTTAACAAATATTTTTTGTCGTATATGTATATTCTTAAACAATTACACTGACAATTTCTTTTTATATTCTCATCATTTAAGAAGGTATTATAATTATCAGTATTATTCTTATCTGCATAATCTACGTTCAAAACTCAGTTTTGATACAAAGATCTGGATCTCCACTCGACTGCTCACTCTGAAGTCGCAGTTAAACTGCCCCAAAAGTGAAAAAAATACAATTCAATTTTTTCATTTTTGAAAAAAAAAATTTTTTTTTACCGTGTATAAAATGAAAAGGCGCATTTTTTTCTCTTTGATATATTCTGTAAAACGAATAAATTTTAAATAATAAATAAATCTCGACTCATAAATTTCATTAAGTTTTAAAACAAACATCATGGTATCTTTTACAATTAGGGGACGATTGGGTAATGCAGGGTACCTTTTGGAATGTATTTTTAATATTAAACTGGAAAAATAAGTATTAAATTACACAAACACTTCAAAAATTTCATTTTAGAGCCAAAAAACCGTTTTTTGTCTTTTATATATAAAATATCTTGTTGTTGGACTGTATGTAGACACAAATTATGTGGCCTTTATTTTAACACTAAAAATGTATACGTGGACGTCCGCATGAAAGGGTACCACTTTGTCGATTCTAGTTTTTGAGAAAATCTCAATTTACATACTAATTTCGGCCAACAATCTTGATTTTTAAAAAGTTTTTTTAAATCAATTTATAGGGTCCCACAAGACGAAAAATGCACCTGACCCAATTTTTTTGTTACTTTAAGTATTTTATTTCAATGTTTTTTTTCAATGTTTCCTTTTAAAGGGTTTCCTAAATTTTTTTGCCCTAAAATAGAAGGTTTTTAAAAGATCGTGTACTCATAAGTTTTAAAATATAATTGATCAAAAGTTTTTACATGTTACTATATACGTCAAGAAATATTTTAAAAAAAATTGCGATCTAAAAAAAAATAATTATGCTCCTTCTACAGAGGTCGCTATGTACACTGGTCAAAATCAAGATCCTTTACGGTAACCACTGTAGCTCATCGCAGAATCATCTAAAATAAAAAAATCAAACGTGATTTTAAAGTTTAAGACCTAATACAGGTCCTAAACCTCGAGATATTAAATAAAATCAAAAATTAAAAAAATGGCAAGCTTTGGAACTTAAAAAACTGAAAAAACACCATTTTTTGACAATCAATCACTCACAAAAACCTGATTATTGAATATTTTAAATATATTAGAGGTTTAAGACCTGCAAAAACTTCCACTGAATCGAATGCAACTTGAATTTTTGAAATCGGTCAAACGGTTTTTGAGTTCTACTGGTTACCATTTTTAAATATAGTGTTTTGAGAAAAAACAGTTTAAAGTATTGATATCAAAAGGTTATAATGAATCAAGCAGAAGTAACTAAATCAGCTTGAAAATTCTTACTCAGGGGTTTTTGGGGTCGCTGATTACGAATATGATGTCAGAATTTAAAAATTCAAAATGGCGGATCCAATATGGCGGACATGAAAGTTAAAAATCAATTGCATTTACTTGAAACTTGGTACTCGGGGGTTTTTGGGGTCGCTGATTACGAATATGATGTCAGAATTTAAAAATTCAAAATGGCGGATCCAATATGGCGGACGAAAATTTTAAAACTAATCGGATTTGCTCGAAAATGATGAAATGATATGAATATGATGAATTGTCCGTACTGGGTCCATGACCATGTCGGGTTTATTATCAGCAAACCAAAAAACCTTTTTTATATTTGAATTTTCGAATTCTGTCATCATATTCGTAAGAATATGATGATTTTGAATTTTTAAAATCTGACATTAAATTCGTAATCAGAGACCCCAATAACCCCCGAGTAACGAATTTCAAGCAATTCCATTCGCTCGGTTTATCGTGGTCACGAAAAGGTTAATTATACGATCTGTAGACGCATATATATGTGTATTTTGTTAAATAACTTAAGATTATGAGCGAATTACGATCTAATGATTTAACCACACATTCTTAACATACTTTCTTATCAAAAAATGAAAAAAAAAAATTCGATTTTTTTGACCAAAAAAAATTTAGAAAACCCCTTAAAAAGGAAATTGCAAAAGTTGTATTTATGTATTTTTCGAAAGTTTTACTACAACACATAGTTCATTTTAGAAAAATACACTGTTTAAAAAAAACCATGACATTTATTTAGAAATTTTTGTTAACATGTTATAAATAACTTATTGAAGAATATGAAATTTTTTTTTCACTTGTAGTCCAATATGGCGGCGATGTACAACATTTTCAAAAATGTTCATTTTTCATGGGGGGATCGATTCCGAGATTTCTACAAGTGGAATTTTCGTCCCCTTCTGTTTTTTAGGGTACGTTTTTCCCAAAACTTGAAAAAAACACATATGGGTGATTCTCCACGTAGCGCACGATTTGGTGTCTGAAACTTTAAAAATATTTTTTTATCGAAATGATAAATATCAATACATATTTTTGAAGATAAAGTGTCAAGAAATAAATATCCATGGTGGGCCGGAAAATTTTTTTATAATTTAAAAATTTTTTTAAACAAATCAAAAAAAAATTCTTTGCTTTTTGAATTCTATAAAATAGTTGAAATTTGATTTAAAATGTTTATAGAAATTTTTGGGATAATTCACAAAAATATATATAGCGCGAACGACAATTAAAAATTTTGATTTCGGTAATTTATGCATGTGAACTTAGCCCCCCACTTTTAAAAAATTAAATTTTTTTTTAGAGTTCCGACTTTCTAAAGAATAGTTCTAAAGTTCCTGATAGGTTTTAGAAATAGCTCCGGTGATTAAGCCTTAAAAATATCGATTTTTCATAATGGGGGGCTAACTTCACGCAGCCCCCCACTTCTTAAAAAGTGTCTGATGGGAGTTCTGTATGACACCTTTCGAGTTCCAAGAGTTCTGATGAAAGTTCTGTTTGCCCCCCCACAGAGTTCTACAAAAAACACTAATAAATTTTTTTTCTAAACTCAAAATTAAAGAAACTACAGAACTTTAAAGTTTCAAGAAAAATTATTTCACTTAAATTTAGTTCCAACAGTTCTGATGGGAGTTCTGTATGACGCCTATGGAATTCCAACAGTTCTGATGAGAGTTCTTTGTGCCTTTCACTGATTTTTACAAAAAACCTTAATACATTTTTTTTCTAAACTCAGTGGGGGGCAAACAGAACTTTCATCAGAACTCTTGGACCTTAATTTAAGTAAAATATTTTTTTTTTCAAACTTTAAAGTTCTGTAGTTTTTTTAATTTTGAGTTTAGAAAAAAAATCTATGAAGGTTTTTTGTAGAACTCAGTGGGGGGCAAACAGAACTCCCATCAGAACTCTTGGAACTCGAAAGGTGTCATACAGAACTCCCATCAGACCTCTTGGAACTCAATTTAAGTGAAATAATTCTTTTTTGAAACTTTAAAGTTCTGTTGTTTCTTTAATTTTGAGTTTAGAAAAAAATTTATTAGTGTTTTTTGTGGAACTCTGTAAGGGGCAGACAAAACTCTCATCAGAACTCTTGGAACTCCAAGGGTGTTATACAGAACTCCCATCAGAACTTTGGAACTCCAAAGGTGTCGTACAGAACTCCCATCAGAACTCTTGCAACTCAATTTTTAAATAAATAATTTTTTTTTGAATTTTCAAAGTTCTGTAGTTTTTTCAATTTTGAGTTCAGGAAAAACTTTTATCAGGGTCTTTTGTAGTACTCAATGGGGGGCAAACAGAACTCCCATTAGAACTCGTGTAGTTCGTGACTATAAAATTTTTTGAATTTAAAAACAAAATTTTAACTGTATATGGGCAGAACTATTTTTGAAAAGTATAGAGAACTCAAGAACTCTGTGAGAACTATTCAGAACTCTAAAAAAAATTTCATTTTTTAACAAGTGGGGGGCTGCGTGAAGTTAGCCCCCCATTATGATAAATCGATATTTTTAAGGCTTAATCGCCGGAACTATTTCTAAAACCTATCAGGAACTCTAGAACTATTTTTTAGAAAGTCAGAACTCTAAAAAAAATTAATTTTTTAAAAGTGGGGGGCTATGTTCACATGCATCTGTAATTTACGGAAATTTTCGAGGTAATTTATGGAAATTTTCGCGGTAATTTACAAAAACATATATAACGCGAACGACAATTGAAATTTTTATTTCGGTAATTTATGGAAATTTATGCGGTAATTTATGGAAATTTCTACGGTAATTTATAGAAATTTATTTGGTAAGTTATAGTAAACTTACCGGAGCTATGATAGTTTATAATAAATATTTTTAATTTCGTTTGTTTCATTGTGTATTAATTTTGGACCAATGACGGTCGAAATTTTGTGGCGGGTGGAGACGCTGGG